GCTCTCCTCAGCCTTTTTGGGAACCTTAAACCACTGACAGGTGATTTAAATAACACTGATCATCTTAAATATTAAAAATAATAGTCTTTATTTCTGTAGCACCTTTCTTAAATAAAGCTCCAAGGCACTTTAGAAAATATTAAAATACACAGAGCATAAGACAGCAACAGTAAACATTCAAAGAAGACAATAAAACATTAGTTGAGAAAGTGCAACATTAAAAAGAGGAATAACAGTTTTAGCAAAGGAAAGGGATAAAATGAGACAAGATAAGATAAGACAAACTTTATTAATCCCTCATCTGCTAAATGTACGTGTTACAGCAGCTAGACGCAGATGAAGCGTGAAAGAAACAGGACAAGAACTGCAAAAGAACAACCCTAATCCTAAGGCTACAAACAAAGCTATAATAAAGACATTTACTCCTTAAATAAAATGTCTAAAAATGTTATGCAATAACATATCTGTACAGGTTACATGAGACAGGTTTTTTGAACTGAGGAACTGACTAAGCTGGTTTGACTGTTAGGGGGAGTTTGTTTCAAAAAAGATAAGATAAGATAAAACTTTATTAATCCCAAAGGACATTCTTATGCCAGATATTGCTCAGAAAGATCTTTAATTAAAAAAATTGTGGCTAAAACAATAAAGGCCTGGTCATCTTTTGTTTTTAAACAGATCTGAGGGGCGCGGTGCAGAATAAGCGGTTAAAAGTTCAGAGATGTGGAGTGAAGCCAGAGCGTGTCATGATGTCAAATTAATCATCTTCAACTGAATTCTCTAACAAACTGGGAGTCACGGTAATTCTGCCAGAAAACTGTAACCGGGTCACAGTTTAGTGTTCAGCTGGGCAACTTCACCTCGACTTATACCACCGACCTAAACATTTCTACAGACCAAGCTCACCCCCTCATGGTAGTGGTACTCCCCAACGCCTCCCCCAGCAGTACAGTACGCCACAAGGAACAGCTCGAGGAACACAACCAAGAGCCCACGAGGTCGACTCAGCCTTCAAACCCACCCAGATCCCAATTTAATCCATCATCTGCACCCCACAACGTCAGGGATCGATGGTTCAGAGCTGACTTGGCAGCACATATAAGGCAGGAGGTTTTATTGTTGTTGCTCATCGGTGTGAACCAACATGCTTTCATGCTATTTAAGCTTCACTGCAGCATGAAACATTTGGTTTGATCTATAGGTAAACACTTTGTCTGGCAGGTGCATCCTGTAACCGATGTTTCAGCAAGCAGTCGTGATGTCCCAGTTCGTGTGATGGTTCCACCTGATGTCAGAACCACTCAGGATATCCTTGTTTCATGTTATTTGCTTGCAGTTTAACACACTTTTTGTTGTGTGAAGGGTATTTTTTTCTTTGTTTGCCTTTTGATAACAGGGTCTGATGGTGCTGGATTGTGAAAGCGATGCCTCATACCTGTCTGGGGATGTCTGAGCTGCTGATTTGTACCCGTATGTAGCGCTTCACTTACTTTAAACAGATCTGATTTTGCAATTTCAACATGTTTCCAATCAGATTTCATAATGCGCGTTTCTTCCACCTCTGACTCTCTAAAAAAACGTTATTTTTCTCTCCTGCCTCCGGCCCTTTGTGTTCCTTGTGTTGGTACCTCTGAAATTTATTCAGAACCTCCTGCGGCATTTCCCAAAAGAACATCTAATACCAGCCAGCTGAGACAACGTTAACCGTGTAAATAGCAGACATCCAATATGTCCTCCTTTAGTGTTACATATTAATAGGACAAGCAAAGATTGATTACTGCATGTTCAAACAGATTATTGCAGCTAATGTGACAAACACACTCACATCTGTGTTGTATTTAAGTTGTACTGTCATGAGCTTTATTCAGTTTTTTAACATCTGCTAAATGTAATATTGTTGGAGACGCCAGTGAGGGAAAACAAGCAGCCACTCTGTAAACTGTATACGAGGCACAAACAGTCTATACAGTGAGTCTGTCTTTGTTTGTGTTTCCAGGTTTGGCTCGGCTTCATCCCGTCTCTTTGAGGCCATTTTAATGACCTTCTCTCTCTTCAGCACAGAGTCTCTTGTACAAATCAATTCATCCGCTGCCATGCAGTTTAGTGGAAGTGTTCCAGCTGCTGCTTCAAGCTGCTTTAATGTCAGTTATTTTGTCCTTAGAGCAACACGGCGGGAAATTTAATGTCAATTCAGCTTAAGTGCAGCGTGACAGGATGAGACAGTGAAATATAAGACATTAACACAGTGCAAATCCAGCACACCTAACACATGACCACACTGTATAAACATGTCATAATGTAGCTTTACACACTGATTTAGTTTGTTTACGTCAGTAATTATAGCTCTTGTACAGATTTTGACAAATAAATCATCTACTAATTCTGTTTACAGGAGGGAAAGTACATCTTCCTTTCTGTAGAAGATGCATTTTATAAACAGCAATCTTCTGCTCAGGCAAATATCTTAATAACAATCTTTGGGGGAGCTGCAGTGAGAAGTGCTGAAGAATTTCAGCTTCATGTCGAAGTTTGAGAAGTCTAGCTACTGACTTTTGGTGATGATGATTTTGTGAAATCAAAAATAAACTCTGTGACATGAGAGAGTCGTCTCTTCACCCACGCACTCAGGAAATGCTCTTTCTTTCTATTAGTCACCAAGTTGCAGCGCGTCTGTGCTTTGCCGCCAAATGTCGTGACCCTAAAAAGCCCGTCTTGAAGAAAACTCTTCCTCTATTGCTTGCTCTGGGAATTAAATTTGGTAATTTCTTTGTTTGGATTGACAGGAGGATCTTCTAGTTGAGAAAGCTTGCTTTGAGGCAGCAGCTGTGCAGAGCTTTGGGGACTGAAAGCAATCAGACAAGCCTCAACAACAGATGGATGATGGCAGGAAGGATGAATGCACATGTAGGTACAACAAACATGCATCAAAAACAGTCTGACTTCTTCAGGGAATTGACAAGTGACACATGAATATGGATTTTCTTGCACGGTGAATAGTGTTTGTGTTGTCTGAACTGGCTTTTAAGGAGGCAGCGTTTTGATTGTTTATTAATCCATTTTCTGTATACATTCAAATCTAATCACAAAAATTAGGCAAGAAAAAAATATAAATACGTTTCTATTAACACATTTGTCCTATGTGTGAGATTATCAAACTGATCCGACAAAATATGAAGATCTACGGCTCCAGTTTTCAGCATTGTTTGACATAATACCACATCTGGTATTTAAACCAGAAGTGTCCTCCCTTCTTTTGCATGTGAAGTTACTTCCTTTATGTGACGCCTTCATGAATACGGCCTTGAAGTAGGCATGAGCTGTGAGCCGTTTGACTCACATCGTTTCCTGGATCGGTACGTGTTCATTCAAACAGAATTCAGGAGAGACGTTGCTGTACCTTCACAGATTTTGTTCAGAGTTTGCTTATTAATAATTGGGACCCAAAACTAAGTCCTGTACCATATTTTGTCTGAATCCTGAGTTCGTATTCATAAGTTCATATGTTTTCAGACCTGGGAATTGTTGTAATTTCACCCTCAAAAAAACACTTTACCTGGTTAGCCATTTTAGTATAACACCCATAGCCATGAAATTAGGAAAGAATTTGAACAAAATTGTTTCCAGTAAGTCTGAATGATTGAATGGATCCAGCAAGGACCATTTTTTAAAAAATGACTGGCCCCTGAAAAAAATAAACTGTCTGAGAAAGTTCCTGTACATGTATGTATATATATATGGATGTGTCTATCTTTTCCACTAAAAATATTGTCTTTACTTGACATTTCACCATCTTTTGAGGCTTCAAACATCAGTAGAATCTTATCTGTGGCAAGTATTACAAGCCAAGGTTCCGTTTTTTTTGTGATTTTGACATGTAAAATGGTGATGTGGACTCATTGGTAACACCACACAAACTGGTGTGCACAGAGGTCCATATGTTCTCATTATATGTGTAAAGTTACAAGCTGCTTCCATGTTGTTTTCATGTTGGACTTTAACAACATATGAGGTTTATTTTTGCCTTACCGGCTGTTCCTGTGTGTATACTTTAAATGAATCTGAACAGAGACACTGATGTTGACTCAGCACACATCAGAATAAATCTAATGTTTACTGAAACACATCATAAGTGATGTAAAAAGAGATGGAGCAACTGAAGAAAACACACAGAGTCATCATTCCTTTGTGGATTTACTTTTTTTTTATTTGCAGAAAGGAAATTCTTAAAAACCATTTCAATGTCTGTTTTGGTCTTAACATCAAGTTTGTAGTGTCTCCTCCTCGTAGTATTTAGAGATGGGATGGGTGACAAGACATATACTATTGGCACCTAAGAGATATCATTTTTGTCCCAAGGCACACTTTTACACGTAATTTCTGCTCTGTACGTCATCATGAATAAGACTTATTGCAAGGCACAGAGTTAAAAAACCACTGGTCTCACTGTCTGTCCCTCACTGTGATGTTAATGTAGAACATAGGCTGAGCATTTAAAGAAAGTGGGATGACATTGCATTGCCAGCGTGTCACATTTTCTATTGATTTTACTGTGAAATAGCTTGGAAGTAGTGCAAAAAATCTAAATTAAGATTTGAATTTGAATCATATAGTTTAAATTTATTAAATTGAAACTGCATTACAATAAACCTGGGAACAGATTCAGTTTCTGGTGGCTTACATTTTTGCTCTTAGGCCAAATTCCTGTTGTGTAAAGATCTTGACATTGCCTCCAGTTGTTACTTTATGTGTTCTGAGGTTTTAAAAAATGAATGAATGAATGAATTAAAATAAATTTTAAAAATTAAAAAAAATGGCAACTAGGAGTATTCAAGTTACACCATATTGCTATAAAAGTGCGGTGAAAAGGCATATTTTGCTATCACTACTTGAATTTTTTACAAAAATGAAGTAGTGGTAGAAGTAGTTGCAGCAGCAGAAGACTTAAGCCTTACTTTTATTTTGAAAATGAGAATACCCGATCCTGATTGGCTCAGTGTGCTGTGACGTGTATATCGGAAATGGCCACGCAAGCGACTGGAATCATAACATTGCATTTGTAGTGTTTTTACTCATCCTCACGTTGTTCTTTTTCAATTACTTTATTTCTCTTTTTCCATGACGGATATTTATAGCTATTTTGGGGAAGCGGAAATTAGAGGGAAACTTAAATATTTCTTTTGCAGCGCTGTGAAAACATGAGGCGGGTCGCTGTGAAAGCTAACCAGCAGCTACTAGCATTAGCTAGCAAATGGCTGCTCAGCTGTGATGTCTGTCACTGTCAGAAGTAAGTGAACCGCCGCCACTTTACACACACTTCATACGAGGGAAACCTTTCGCTCTTTAACTTCCGCACCTCAAATGATAAAAACCTGCTTAAATGTGACATTAAAGCAGGAATTCACAGCTAAACAGCGGCCCATCTGCTCGCACAGGAGTTTTTCCTCTGTAGCCTGATTTTTGTCTCTTTGCGTGTTTTCCAGATGACAAGACGACGTGCAAAATAGTAGTGAAGCTGCTGGGAGGCTGTGAGCTGCACGGAGAGACGGTTAGCTAACAGCATGTGACACAGAAGCCCCTCTGCTCGCCAAAGAGTTGGTTTCAATCGAGATGCCTCGTCTGGAGGAGCTGGCCAACGTCGCCCTGAGGGTGCCGAGCATCCTGGTGCTGGACCTGCTCTACAAATGTGACATTGAAGGTTTAACGGAGCACCTCAAGGCCAAAAACGAAGACATGCTCTTCAAGTATAAATATGTCATCTGGAACATGTACTACATCGGTGAGTTATACTGTGGTGATGATTAAAGAGTAAAGTTGTAGCCCACATGCACAGCTTTCATTTGTGAGCTCTTTTTGTTCAGGTTGTCTGTTTTATAGTGTTATTGGACTTTTCAGCAATTAAATATGATGGTGATTGATAAAAACTTAAGCTGCTGAATTCAGAAGAAAGACGTTGACGTAGATTTCTCTGGAGTTTCCTCTCCTATGATGGTTTCAGTCCTGTTTCAGATTGGTTTTGGCCTGTCAAGTAAAGCGACTGTATCATATTGTAACAGACTGTCAGCTCCTTAAAGCCCTGAAAGACTCCAATATTGTCAAGTAGCAGGATCGTCTGTCTGCGTAACACCTTGTCGTCATAGTTTGTCTCCTAATTCAATCTACCTCAGTTTCCACTCAATGCGAATGGTCATTTATTCACCCACTGAAATAACTGTTTCCAGTTCTAACTTCACAAACTTCACAGTGTTGACAAACTGTAACAAAGTGTTCTTAAATACCCAGACACCGGGAGGACATTGATCCACTGTGATTAAGGTTTTCAATCCACAGACTGACAGATTAGATAAGAAAATAAGAGTTAACGAAACTAGGATAAGTGAAAACCGAGAAGAAACTGATCAATCAAAGCTGCATTAAATAGAAAAAATACGTAGAATTTCAAAGTTTCTGTGTACATTACTGTGTTGCACCACCGTACTACCACATTTGTAAACCATTAATTAGGTTGGTATTGATGACCAAGATAAATTTTCTTGCGTTTTGTGAGGTTAATTTGATTTCTTAAAAGATAAAATGCATTTTGTTTCATAATGTACTTTCTATACTGATCTAAAGACAAAGTTTTACTTTCAGAAGATGATGAAATATTGAAAAGAGTCTTGAAAAGGGGACACTTTTTCATCAGTAAAATATCTAAACAACAGGAAACGCTGGACAATATGTGGTCTTCAGTTGATAATCGATTGCTCATTTTAGCTCTATTTTTCTGGTTGTAGCTTATCAATTGTTGTTTTTCTCTGGTTTATGTCGCTGTAAACTGAATTGCTTTAGGTTTTGGACTGTGGAGTGGACAGTACAAGATATTTGAAAATGGCATGATGGACTGTGGGAAATAAAGCCATATATTTACTATTTTCTTATGTTTTGTTAACAAAATGATTAATCAGAAAATGGCAATGAAATAACAGTTAGTTGCAGCCTTTGGTAACTTAGTTGTGACCTTTGAAAAATAATGCAGTTGTGTAGTTTTGGACTCTTCTGGCAGCCTGGTGATTAAAGCCTTATAGACATTCAAAACTGCATAATATAGCAAACCTGATCACAAGATTTGAATAGGAGCATCTTTTCTATGTTTTATGCTTTTGCTTGTGCTATGAGTATTAATCTGTGTCTTCCAGGTCATCTCATAAATGTGGTGGTGTTAGTCCTGCCGCTGAGACACATTGTGACGCTCTACCTCCACATCCTCGCCGCCCTCCTCCTGTACATGGGGCATCAGATTTCCAAGTGAGATTCTTTCGTGCTACTACTACCACTACCGCTGCACTTCTCAATTTATTGTGACAGAATCAGTTTTCTCTCACGGCTGTAATCTCAATGCTCTTCCCTCCCTAGTGTTTTCCAGTATTTAATGTTAGTAGTACTGTATCCTGTATCCCACACTTTCTTGTAAATGTGTCTTGAAACCTGAGAACACAACAGTGGCTTCTTTAAATACTGCAGGCCTGTTTCTATAAAAAGACCAAACTGGGATTATTTGGATGGAAATAAACGACTAAACAGATTAAAATAGAAACAAATTTATAAATATGTGAGTCACACAAAACGGAGAACTAATTCCATGGTGTGTAAACTGGATCTTTTATTGTCACTTCAGGAGGTATTTTATTTTGGTAGAAGGTTTACGTATGTACTCATTTATTATTATATTATGTATTTATATATTTCTCAAATTATTTAAGTATTTTGTTTATTACTGATTGCCATTAAATATATGTCAAAAACCAGGCTAACGTTACCTAAATGCTTTTTAAACCACACCTTAGGCCATTACATGTTGCTGTGTGTTCTTTTAACGTTATGTGTCTGCTAAAAACAATCTACATGTAGTGTACATATCATTGTGAAACCGTTTTTTTCTTCCTGTTCGTTTTACAGGGATTATGTTCGTGAGGAGCTGCAGTACGGTTATGAAGGAGCTGTGTATCTTGATTCTTTGGCCTTCAACAGATTTGTCTCTGCGATGACTAGTAAGTACCAACCTTGCATGTAAATTCAAAGCATTTAGGCTCATATTCTAAAAAGCCTTGTGCAGGTTGGATTTCATAAAACTTCACAAGAAACTAAACTGCAGTTTAAGTACTACATTTTGAAAAATAGCTTTATTCTGCAATATCTTTATCGAGTCTCGGCCACATGTGACGCAGCACGTTTGCGTAGTCATGGACACAGAAAGTATAACTTCGACTTTAGCTTTTTCTATTCCTCGTTATAATCAAACTCAAGACTCTGTTTTTTTTATGGCTATTTGGTAACTTAACAGACTTTTTGTCGACAATATGAAATAAACTCAAGTTTGGCTGGAAACAAATTACTTCAAATGACTTACCCAAATCTGCAGCTGTTGAAGTTTAAAGGCAGCTTTGCAGATGTGCATTTGGAGCAAATGGTGCTCAAAACAAATGTTTGTTTTGAGTAGATGCCGTGTGACATCACCCACACCTTTATAATTCATCATTAAAACAGTTGTAATTGAACTTGTTGCTGCAGGATTTTGGAGGTGCTTTGATTTGTTTATGTTTCGATCAACGGTGCACAAACTTCAGTGGGGAGTTCTAAACTCTCCAGATATCCTGTGCTGTGTCTGAAAACTGTCTAAACTCTAGCTGCAGGTTGTTCCAAATTGGCACAGTGTTACAGCCCAACCTCTAACTGCCATAGTCTGTAAAAACCCCACTAAGAACCTTTCACAAACATCCACTGAAGCCTGGTGTGTTTTTGTGAGTTTTATGCTAGGAACAATGCAACCGTCTGTGTAGCAGACGGTTACATTATTCAGCGTATAGCCCATAATATTGATATTGTTGTATGAACAGAACCATGTGCACGTCCATGATCAATGTTTGCAAATTAATATTTCAGCTCAAATTCATAATACAGTCAAAACTGTAAAATAATTGGACATCAGTTTTTTTCAGTATTTTGCAGCCTTATTTCTCTAGTTTTGAGGCTGTAGCTTAATCTTTCTTTGCAGGTCAGATTATTCTCAGCACGCTGTGTGCCTTCCTGATGAAGACCAGAAAGGTGTGGCTGTTCTCCGCTCACATGCTCCCCCTGCTGGCTCGACTCTGCGCTGCCCCTCACGCCACACTGCTAACGGTCAACACCTTCTCCATGGGCCTGACTGCAGCCGGGATCGCCGTGTTCCTCCTCTCAAATCTCTTCGTGCCATATCGCCTCGCAAGGGCTGCCTACTCAGAGCTGCTTCACCTGGAGGTACCCCTATCCTGAATTCTTTTATTTATTTAACTTTTATTATGTTTTTGCTTTTTTTCCCCCTCTAGGATGTTGGAGTTTTTTTGTGCGTGTAAAAGATCTGGAAACCTATGAAGCCCCAAGTCCACACCTGAATGAATTATTCTCTCCCACTGCTCTTTACCTGCCTGAAACACTTGATTTAAAGTCCAGGCTTTTTGAAATTACTTTTTATGTATGTCCTTATGTAACATATTTGCATTGCGCCTCCACTATGCATTTTATTTTAAATGACATCGGCTCATTCTGAATCAAATCTGACAAACTATAAATCATTTGAAGGCACAGAACCTCAAAAATTCAAACACTGTAAACCATTTTGAGATATCTATATGACAGAAACAACCGTTCCTGACTTTGTTATGGAAATGTGTACACAGCAAAATATTAGTTTCTTGCTTTTTCGTCGTCTTTCGCTCATAGAATCACTGTGGGCTGCATGCTTTTTTTTCACAGTTAGAATCCAGCTAACAGAATGCTTCCAAGCTTCTTTTTTCTTAGTAAATAAGGGAATGAATGTTCAGGAGTTGCTTGATTAATCTTCATTTTCATGTCACTGCAGTTATTGAACTATCTGCAAGTATAATCAGCAAAAATATAACTAAAAACACTCTGTTGCTAATTCAAACATACATTTCACTCAGGTTTTTTTTTTCCTTATAATTGATATTTCCCCTCCCAATTAAAGACTTGGTTGTGTTCACTGTGTGTCACCGTGGACAACAAAACATCAACTAAAAATGAACCCTGTTAATTTAGAGGAAAGTTTTCCAGCTTTTCTGACGCTCCTCGTCACGTCCCTCAGGTGATCGAGCTGTACAGACTTCTGGCGGTGGGAATCTCTCTGTGGAACCAGTTTGCCGTCCCAGTGCTCTTCAGTGTCTTCTGGTTTGTTCTGTTCGTCGTCCAGCTGTGCTCAGACACCATGTCTGCCAGCGCCTCAGCAGCCCATCAGGGAATCATGTTCTTCCTGCTCACAAGGTGTGATTATGTGCTTCTTACATACCGTTCCTTCATATTTGTTTGCTCCTGACATTGTTCACATAGTACTTTGTTTATAATTTTTGTATTTTCTGCATTTACCGAACCCGGCAGTGTCTCTGAATGTTGTGCCACACCATACTCCCTTCTGGGTCTGACCTTCGTGGTGTCCTATCTGGCTCTCGGACTGCTCAACCTATGCAAGTTCTACCTGGGAGGTTATGCAGCTGTTCAGAACGAGAATGTCATGCACAGGTGAGATGTTAGCACCACTCTTGGCCCACTTTCTACACTGAAATTCACCATTTCTGAAGTAAACATGTCAAACTTGTTGGCAAACATTTGCTAATTTAAACATCAAGCAGTGTTAGTGTTCAATTAAAGGTGTGTTTTAGTTATTTTTTTCTTTTTGCTTAGTTTCTGGTCTCTATCTACTTGTGAATGTTCCCTGTGTTTACCAGCTGTTTGTTAACCACATCTATCTGTCTGATGCTTGATTAACAGGCAGTTGCACACTTTTGGTTTTAGAGCTTCTTCACCTGAATCCAGCAGTTGTTTATTAGGAATTTTAGTTTTGACTAACCAACAATTTACAACACCAAGATACTAGTTTGAAATCACACAAGACAGAAAAACTTTGCTCAAAAATTCTATATAATTAACTGATTGTGTAAATAAAATTATAATAAAAT